GATGGTTGCGAAAACAAATTTGGCGCGGCAAGTTGTTGTTTAAAGATGTGAGGCATGGTTCCCTGACATTCGTCTAAATTTGATCTTACCGGGAAAGCTAGATGATGAAAGCTCAACAACAAATTTTGGTGACGGATATGGAAGCTCACGAAAGGTTCTTTCGTGGTGGCTAAGTGCAAAAGACTCATACACTTTATCTTGATGCAAGGAAAAACGGTATATACTTCAGTCAATGCACTTGAAGATGATACTTCTACCGAATTGTGGCACAAGCAGCTTGGGCACATGAGTGAAAAAGGGTTACAAGTTTTATTCAAGAAATAGCTTTTACCCAATTTGAAAGGTACACATCTTAAAACTTGTGTTTATTGTTTGGTGGGTAAACAACATAGAGTTTCATTTTATAAAAACGTTGCTTCTAGAAAAGAAAATATTTTGGAGTTGATTCATTCAGATGTTTGTGGTCCTCTAAAAGTTAGAACACATAGCAGTATACTTTATTTTGTTACTTTCATTGATGATTATTCAAGGAAAGTTTGGGCTTTTATACTAAAAACTAAAGATCAAGTTCTAGACGTATTTAAACATTTTTCAGGCCATGGTTGAAAGAGAAACAGGACATAAATTGAAGTGCATCCGAATAGACAATGGTGATGAATACTTTGGACCATTTGCAAAATATTGTCGCAGCCAAGGTATTCGACAATAAAAGACAGTTAAGAAGACTCCTCAACAAAATGGTGTTGCCGAGAGAATGAACGACACCATTGTGGAAAAAACAAGGTGCTTGCTTTTCACATGTTAAATTGCCAAGATCCTTTTAGGGTGAAGTAATGAGGACAACAATTGATGTGATCAATTTGTCTCTTTTCTATCCTTTGAATGGTAATGTTCCAGAAAGTGTTTAGACCAGCAAAGATGTGTCTTATAAGCACTTGAGAGTGTTTGGTTGCCGAGCCTTTGTTCACATTCTAAAGGATGAGAGGTCCAAGCTTGATAGCAAATCAAGGCAATGTATTTTTCTTGGCTATAGGTGTAATGAATTTGGTTATAAATTGTGGGATCCGGTCGACAAGAAAGTTATTCGAAGCCGTGATATTGTGTTTCTTGAAGACCAAACAATTGAAGACTTTGACAAATGTAATCAACCAGAGCCAAAAACTAGTGATCTCATTGACATGGATCCATCTCCTTCATCTTCGGTGGATGATGAAAATGAGGGAGATGTGCAGCCACATATTGAAGATGTGGAGAATGATACTAATCCTAATGAACTTGAGCCATAAATTGAGGAAGAGCATCCAACTCAAGAACCGCCACCACAACTTGAGTTGAGGAAATCTACAAGAGACCGGCAACCTTCGAGAAAGTATCCTTCCAATGAATTTATGTTAATTTCTGATCAAGGAAAGCCCGAGTGCTACCAAGAAGCAATTGAGCATGCAAAGAAAGATGATTGGAAAAATGCCATGGAAAAGGAAATGAATTCCTTACTTGAAAATCACACTTATGATTTAGTGAAGTTGCCTAAGGGGAGGAAAATTTTGAAAAATAAGTGGGTTTTCAAATTGAAGAATGATGGCAAGAATCTAAGGTACAAGGCACACCTTGTTGTGACAGGTTTTGGACAAAAGAAAAGTATTGACTTTGATGAAATTTTCTCGCCAGTTGTGAAGGTGTCTTCTATTCGGGTTGTACTTGGCATGGACGCAAGTATAAACCTTGAAGTTGAGCAACTTGATGTAAAGACCGCATTTCTTCATGGTGACTTTGAAGAAGAAATTTATATGAAGCAACCAGAAGGTTTTTTAGAGAAAGATAAAGAGAAATTTGTTTGCAAATTGAAGAAAAGTTTGTATAGCCTCAAGCAAGTCCCGCGAAAATAGTACAAAAAATTTGACTCTTTCATGATGAATAGTTGTTTTTCTAAAAT